GATGCACACAAGTCCTGAAAGGACTGGTGAAATCACCTTGGAAGAAGTCTAAAAAACTGATGCTAGTGGCAGTCACACTACTACTGAAACTGAAGAAGAACCCTCTGCTGCCACCACAATAGCACCACCTCACATTCAAAAACGACATCCAGCTGAGCAAATAATTGGTAACATACATGATGGACTTCGAACTAGAGGTAAGTATGTCCCTAGGCAGTATGCTTATGTTTCTCAGTTCGAACCTAAGAATTATAAAGAAGCAATTAAGGATGATGAATGGTTTTTCGCTATGGTTGATGAATTAACTCAGTTCAAGTCTCTTCAGGTTTGGGATCTCGTGCCTTAGACCCTTAAATCAATCTGTGATTGGAACAAAATGGGTTTTTAGGAATAAATCTGATGAAACTGGGATTATAATTTGTAACAAAGCTAGATTAGTTGCTCAAGGATATTCACAAGAGGAAGGAGTAAACTATGATGAAACTTTTGCCCCTGTTGCTAGGATAGAATCTATTCGTTTGTTATGTGCCTATGCTTGCTATATGGGTTTTCCTCTCTATCAAATGGACGTGAAGAGTGCTTTTCTAAATGGTGATATCCAGGAGGAGGTATATGTTTCACAACCTCCTGGTTTTGAAGATCATCAACACCCTAACCATGTTTACAAACTCAGAAAAGCCTTATATGGTTTGAAACAAGCCCCAAGGGCTTGGTATGACAGGCTTACTCTGTTTCTCCTTCAACATGGCTTTGTTCAAGGCTCTGTTGATAAAACTCTTTTTATTAAACACAAATCTGATGATATGCTTATTGTTCAAATCTATGTGGATGATATTGTTTTTGGTGCTACTTGTAAAGATATGTGTTCTGAGTTCTGTAACTCTATGAAAGAAGATTTTGAGATGAGTATGATGGGGGGAACTTCAATTTTTCCTCGGACTCCAAATCAAACAAACAAATTCTGGTACTTTCATAAGTCAGACTAAATACATAGCTTCCATGTTAAGTAAATTTGATATGATGAGTCTTAATTCCAGTCCTACTCCTATGGCTGTGAATTTGAAGCTTGACAAAGATGAAACTGCTACACCAGTTGATGAATCAAAATACAGAGGAATGATTGGTTTTTTGCTTTATCTTACTGCTAGTCACCCTGATATTCAACATAGTGTATGTTTATGTGCTCGTTTCCAATCAGCCCCCAAAGAGAGTCACATGTCTGCAGTCAAACGCATATTTAGATACCTGAAAGGTACCATGGACATTGGACTGTGGTATCCTAAACATGATCTGTTTGATCTTGTTGGGTACAGTGCCTCAGACTTTGCTGGGAGTCTGACTTATAGGAGAAGTACCTCTGGTAGTTGTCAGTTTGTAGGAACTTCTCTAGTTTCCTGGTCTTGTAAAAAAGAAGGGGCAGTTGCCCTTTCCACGGCTGAAGCAGAGTACATTGCTGCAGGAAGCACTTGTACTCAACTTCTATGGTTAAAAAGCCAACTACAGGACTATGGTATCACTATGACTAGTAAACCCTTACTGTGTGACAACACAAGTGCTATCTGCATGTCTAAAAATCCTGTGCAACACTCATGTACTAAACATATTGAAATTAAATACCATTTTATACGTGACCTTGTTAGTACTGGAATCATAAATCTCCAATACATTAATACTGAATTTCAACTGGCAGATCTCTTTACCAAACCTTTATCCACTGATCGATTTAATTTCCTTTGCTGTAAGATCGGTCTGCGATCTCTTTCCTCCACTACTGCTGCAAATGAAGTCTAGCTCTTGCTGGGTTTCCTTGTCTGTTGTATTTTGATTATTCCTCAGTTCTTTGATTTTATCTTTGGTATCTTTTCTTTCCTTCTCTTGTTTTGGTTGATTGAGTGTTTTTCCTTTTTTTATGGTTTGGTTCGAGTCTTTATATTGCTTAGTTTCTATAGTTTTTTTCTGTGTATCCTGTGAGTCGTATTCTCCTTTTGTGTTAGTCATGGTTTATGCTTTTGCCTTGACCTACTCTGGGGCACATTTCCATGAGCCTGTTGTTGCAAATTATCATCGTCATTCTCAGTCTTTTGCAAATCGTCCCATAAATCCCTCGACCATTGTTCACCTCCCTGATTTTGTGCCTCTAGGTTTAGATGTGATGCCTTTTGTCTATAATCTGGGCTGGGAATTTCTCCTGATGCCAGATTTCACCTCCTCTCTCATTTGCCCTGAGGCTGTTAGGGTTTTCTTCTCAAATCTGAGGTACTTTGGTCTCCAAACTCGGACTATCAGCTCCCTTGTTCATGGTCATATGATGACCCTTCCACTATCTGACAGCAGCCGTCTCCTCAATATTCCTGCTTTTGGGGAAGCCCTAGCTCATCCTGATGAACTTCCTCTATTCAACTTTGATATCACTACTGAGGCTATTCATCTTACTGGTCATGAACCAGATCAAGATCGTACCTTCTCCTCTGGTCTTTTGAGCCCCGCGCTGCAAGCTTTTCACTACATTCTGACCAGAGTGTTCCTACCTTGTTCCATATTTCTTGATCGTGTTATTCCCCTTGACCTATGGATTCTAGCTCATGCTGTGGCTGCTATACCTTTGGACTTCTCTCATCTGCTGTTTGGAGCCATTCTTCCTTTCATTGATCACAACTTCCATGCACCTCTTCCTTTTGGGGCTTTGATTACTCGACTGATGCTCGCCCTGCCTCTAAATCTCTCAGCTTATCGCACTGAATCTCCTTCCCTTTGGCTTCATGCGAATGATGTTCTAGAAGAGATTGGGATTGCGATTGAGGGGGAGGGACCCTTCATACATTGGCTCAGCAGTGACTCAGAGGAAGATGAGGAGGTTGATGCTGAAACAGGAAATAAGACTCTTGGTTCTCTACCGTCTTTTGCATCTGCTCTGCAAGCTCTCTATGGCTCTAATTCTGAATCAGACTCTCCTATTGCCTTTCAGCCTGATGTAGCATCGTCTAGTGATAGTTCTGATCCTTGATCCTTTTAAGAGTCTCGATTGGTAATTTGTTCAGGGAAAGTCTTATGTTCTTGGTCTGAGATGTTTATCTTTTGAAGTCTTATGTGTTGGATTGAATAATTGCTGAGCTATGTCGAATTTCCTTCAGTCAATAAAGATTCCTGTTTTGGATCATTTCTCATATGTTGTTCAGTACTTTGTGGAAAGCTGCTTGTTATGTATGCAGGGATAAGGCAATCGACAATCCTCCAACTTAGGGGGAGATTGTTGAACTAAGCAGGCCAAATCAAGTTGGAAATTGTTTGCTCATATTGTTGCCTTCTTGCAGCTCAATTACAGGAACCTCAAAAGGAAACAGCAGCCTGTCATTAGGAACTTACCTTCTCTGACTCCAACGGCTAGTCTATTGGAGAGACTATATATGCCTGAGTAACTGCTGCCGATTTAGACACTTTTGCAGGAGCTATTGTGGTAAAGGGCTTAGCTCTGGGATTACAAAAGGGATTGACGAAAGGTTGAGGAACAGGTTCAACTTTCACCAAGGCAGAAACAGATTGGAGACTGATCTTGGTTTTCATTTCCTTCTTCTTATTGCTACATTGATTCTTGCTTTGTGGTTATTTCTGTTCGTGATTTCATAGTTAATAAAAGGCCTCCCAGACCATATTCTGGGACGTGGAAGTAGACCATTGCACAAGGGCGAACCACGTTAAAAATGTCATGTGTTCGTTAAGCTTCTCTGCTCTTTACTTTCTGCAATTCGAGTACTCAGCTTGAGGAACTCTGTTTCTTGCTCTGTTTCGGTTGAGGTGCAGCAGAGTCTGGTGACTCGTGCTCGACAGAAAGAAAGGCTGGGCTTGAAGCCCATTACCTTAAAACTCAACCAAAGCAGATTCCCTAACATTGTTTTACTCGGGCCCGTTTTTTTCGGCCCACTTTATCAGAGTACAAAATCGAGATTCATCTTCCCTTCCTTTGACTCTCGAACTACTCTCTGAAATCGGGTGTTCTTCTTGAACGCTAATTCCCAAATCGATCTCAAACCTTCCCTACAATGTTTTCATTGTTCTGCATGTCCATAAATAAACCATAAACGTCAACATTCCTTAATAGTGTTAGAAAATGCGTAGTTATCTTTGACCTACTGCATGCTGACATTTGAGGAAATGCTTCTATTAAATCCATCAATAACGGTCATTTGTACTTATGAATTTTTGTAGATGATTTCAGTTGTAGATGATTTCAGCCGACCCATGTGCATGGTTGTTAATTATGAAACAAAATTATGAAATCAGATCTCTTCTTGTTAGTTTCATTAAATATGTCTTTTTCAGTTCAATTCCACAAAGCCATTAAAACTAATAATGGTTTAGAATTTTAATTCCATATTATTACAACTCTAAAGGAATCCTACATCAAACCTCATGTGTATATACATCTCATCAAGCTGGGATTTTATAAAGAAAACATTATATCCTCAGTGTCACTAGAATTTTACTAGTTCAAACTTTTCTATCAAGTTACTTGTAGAATTTTGCAACAATGCATGTTGTCCATCTCATTAACAAATATCCACCATATCTTTCCTATTGAAATATTTTCCCCATCGTACAAACTAGGTCAAATTCACAAACTGGTACTCTGCTGCCAGTATACACTGATCCCCTTCCATACTTGAACTAGAAAGAATAGTCTAATTATATACCTTTATTCGATTTATCTCCCTTTTCTCTTCATATACCATCTGGTTCAGCAAATCAACTTTGAGTTTTTTCCAAATCACAACAACTTTTTAATCAACAAATTATAGCTACTGGCTCTTGTTTGTAGCAACCAACAGCTGACAGTTGTCGTCTACAACAATTAAGAAGATATTATCACTCCCTTTCTTCTTCCTTGCTCACCACCACACACCCCTGTTTCTTCTTCATTCTCCTCACACAAGCACATATTGTCACTCCCACATAGCAGAGATCCACGACTCGATATATAAATTTCTTAGAGAATTCTCATTAAAGTTTGAGAGTATTACCTTGCCAACAAAGAGAAGGTAGAGGCGGATCGGGAATGAGAGAAAATAGAAACAACGGATTTAGGTTCTCCTCATTACTCAGAAACTGCAGATCCCCCACCCTTCTCCAGTGAATTAATGGGAGAAACAGTAGCGGAATACTAAATCCCTCTTTCTCCACTAGCTAGCATTGTCGTCGATTCCACAGCTCGGCGAGAACCGAACCGGACCGAGGAGAAAAGCGTCAATGTTGAAGGGGTCGTCCCGCTGGTTGGCCAGAGTATCGTTTTTCGTTTTCACCATCCGGTATGTGGGAGGGTCGGGAAGTGAGGGTTGAGACTTGAGATGTAGCAAAAGGAGGGGAAAGGGTCAGCGAGGAGGACGTTGAAGAGGTCGACGGTGGGGATTTCTGTTTTTCTTTTCCATTTTTATAATTTAATTATTTGTACCTTTGATAATAATTAAATAATTTTATAATCTAATTAAATGATAAAGTAAAAAATATATAGGCTGACGTGTACACGTATTTATCACGCTCGAGTTAACTAACAGTTGATCGAATGGAAAGTTAACAATTTGCCTATTAAATTATTTTCGAAAAGGTTTGGATTACTACTTTGTTTAAAATGAAAGGTTTGGTGGATTTTGGTCTCAAATTGATCCACCCACTTATTAGCAAGTTATGATAATTGTGACCCGCTATCCACCCACATTCTTCATCGAATTGGATTGGATGGGTGGCAAATGGGTGTGAATGGGTAAACACCCACATAAGCAATTGGCATTAAGCAATTGTCATTTGGGTGACTCGCACTACATCCATCACCCACCCGAATAAATGCGGGTGAGAGATTAATTTATCGATCCACAATTATCTCATATCAACCATTAGTCCATGACTCACTTGTTGGGATTTTTAGTGGTGTGAATGGAAATAAAAGGGGAAAGTTTCAAGAGAGTCTCTTGAAGTACTCATGTTGGTAAGATGTGGGAAGGCACTGCCTCGAATTCGATCGATTTGATGTAATATGTGGTTAATCGATTAAATTGGTTTGTCTACCAAACGGTACAAACCAAACCGAGTTGAACCAAATAGAACCGAACTGATGTGGCGGTTGGAATAACCAAACCGGTACAACTATCATGGGCCGAACCGATACAATGGTTCATTATTTCAAACATGAACCAATGTGTTGGTTGGGGTGTAACCACCCATGTGAAGAGTCGCCTCCCTTCATACGCACCCCTTCATTTTCTATAAATAGCACCTAACCCCCTCTGGTTTTGATATAGATTTTTCTGATACGAAAATTCTGCCAAAGTCCAAAACTAGTTTTCTTCATTCTTTTCAAAGAGAAAATAGAGTCAAGTGTGCTTCTCGCCGGTTCGCTGCGTTCGATGGCTTCCGGGGTTTGAGGTACCGCTACACCGGAAAAGGTACATCATTTCTATCCTGGGAGGAATCATTCCATAACCTTGGGTACTTGAGGGGAATAAGATTCTTTAAGGAGAGATAGTGAATTCTATCGGCTATGACGCTTGCATGTGTCTTTGCATGTTTTCTTAATCTTATGTATTTGCTTGTGTTGCAAGAAAATAGTATACGGGAACAATTTCCCCAACATTCTTAAAGAATCTTAGTTTTTGTTATTGTTTTCGTTTACTGTTTGGGATAATCGAATCTTTCTAGCATTAATTGCATGATCATGTTCTTATCATGCATTTGATTGATAAATTGCAAGATGGATTGGGGCGTTCATTTTCTTTTGCCAGAACTGTTTATGGTATATATAGATATATATCATTGGAAAACAATTTGGCATGAGAGCTTAATTAAGATGATCTTATTGAACTTAAAGTTTCGATTACTTATGGTATATTTATAAAGTTTATACCATTGGAAAGTAATTAGACAATTGAATTAGAAATTCGTTTGAATTACTTGTGGTGTATCATGATACTTAAATGAAATGTCATTGGTAAGTAATTAGATGGGATTTCCATTACTAGAATGCATCTGAATTACTTATGACGTCTCGCCGGTTCGCTGTGTTCGATGGTTTCCGGGGTTTGAGGTACTGCTACGCCGGAAAAGGTATGTCCTTTCTATCATGGGAGAAATCATTCCATAACCTTGGGTACTTGAAGAGAATAAGATTCTTGAAGGAGAGATAGTGAATTCTATCGGCTAGGACGCTTGCATGTGTCTCTGCATGTTTTCTTAATCTTATGTATTTTCTTGTGTTGCAAGAAAATAGTATACGAGAACAATTTCCCCAACACCACTACACTTAGAGTTATTTGCTACTATATCAATATCAATTTGCAGTGTATATTTGGCAGTCGGAAATCGAAGAGGGATAAGGAGAGCGGGTAGGAAGCAGTTCCGGTGGTTGGGATTGGGAGAGTTGGTTCGGTAGTGCTCTGTTCTGGAGATCGGGATGGTAAGATAGTTGTTGGGACGGATTAAAGAGTCATTTTCTCGTTAGCATATATTGAAGAGATGGTCCAACTCCGGTTCGGTTCTGACAATATTGCATATTACCCAAACGGGTATTAACGGGTAACCGGCGGGTACATTCCCAAATCCCATCCGGCAATTAATATAACTAGTATTTAGGTACTTGTAACCCTAAAAAATGGGACGGGTATGGGCATACCCAAATACTTGTTTCACGTTGCCCACCCCTAAAAAACCCATGGTGTTCCAAGTAAGTAACTTCATTTATGTTTTACCCCTGTCCTTGGGGTAGGAACAACTACAGAAAACTTCATTTTCCTAGAGGAAACAACTATAATCCAAGGATTTTTGTACACCTCCTAATCAACTAGAGCAAGTTGAGAAGGAAACCTCCCATCTTCTGGTGAGCTCCCTTCAAAAACCTCAGGTTTAGTAACTTGAGGGCTTCTAGTAGCAACTAACGACCCTTTAACTATCTCAACAAAACTCGCAGACTGATTTCCCATTGATGCAGGGACAACTGTATCTTCAGAACCCCCTACTGTCTCCACTTCCACCTCCTTAGTACCTGAACTTCCAAAATCAATGAAAGGTGCCTCACTAATCATCACTTGTTTCCCAGCTACACTTAAAGACCATGTGTCACAGTTTGTAACAACTGGACTTGCACATTTATTACCAACCTTCTTTTCAAGCTTACTCTTTGGGAGCCACTACTTCCCATTCATCGCCAATTTGTCACAATCGTGGCCATAGACCTCACACTTTGGACAAACAAGAGGTTTATTAAGATACTCAAAATCAATCTCGAAAGGAGGATCATCATTAGGGTATAACCTGATATGAGAAGGAAACCACAATCAACCACTAAGTCGACACACACTTTAGCAAATCCTAGTTGATTTCACACCCTAGTCGTCTAATTCATCCAAACCGGAGGCCCTATAGTACTCGATACACATTCAATATCTTCAAACGAATGATATTCCAATGGAATACCCCGCACCCAAATCAGAAGAACTTCAACCTGCGAAGCCACTGGCTGAATCCCAAATGCCCATTTACGAAAGTAAATTTGATTACCTTGATAGTGCCAAAGCCCCGACTGAAATACCAACTTACTTGTGGCTGCCGACGGGAATTGGAAAACCAACAATCTGAGACCAAAACTGGAAACCCGAACTGTGTCGTCTCTACCCCAGAGTCTCGTAGCCCACTGTTGAAGAAGACCAACCTTTGGAGTTGGACTAACGAATTGCCCTATGAGGCAATCCTTCCACCATACCTCTCCTTGTTTCTTCACGTCCTGGTGAATGCGAAAACTATCATTCACCTTTTCTGAAGGATGATACTTAATCCTGTTTGCCGAATAAATATAAAAAAGAGATGCCCATATCACCGCCTCTCCAGTCGGAGCAGAGGCCGACTGAGAGGCTGCCATTATAGCGAATCGAATTAGATATAGTTATTTAACTTTTATAGTATGACTTCTTAAGTCCTTTAATTGTAAATTACATCAACTAAATTCTCTAGTTTGTATATTTTGTTTTCTCGAGCCCTTTAATCTAATACTAAATCAATTAAGTGCTACAACTTACAAAATGTTAGTATAACTTTTGAACAAATAATGAGTACTTTTTTGCAAATGCTAATATAAACGGACAATGTTAATTTTTCATTTTAGTAGAGACAAAGTTTTCTGGAAGAGAGCAGCAAATATTGGTCATAATTTATAACAAATGGATCCCTGATTCAGCAGCAATGCATTTTCTTCACCCAGTAGCAGTACTAGAACAATTCTTCCCGTGAATATTTTGAACTTAAGTAAGTAATGTATTTGATCTTGGTTATGGCAGATTTCTTATAATTCAGAAACTAATAATTTATTGAATAATTAAATCATGACAAGGATTATGAAATATCAATAATGTAAAATAATAGTAATTATGATATGAGGTTGCAGGTGCAAGGTAGCGGTTATCCACAGATATCGGGGATGGGCAATTTGTGAAAGAAAGCCATCAAGAAACAAAGGAGAAGAAGGCAAGAGAAGGAAAATGATGAGTTTATTTCCCTTTGCTGGTTTCAAATGAATTACAAACATTGAATGCCTAACAACAACAGCATTAGAGTGTTTTGGATGCAGCTAATCTTGCTTTGGAATTGATCATCAAATGGCACATCACAAGAAGGTGATCGAATTAGAGAATTAGTAAGATATGTATAGGTTTATATTTTTGGTAATTGATAACGTACGATTTTGTAAGCACACATTTAGGGTTCAGCGGAAGCGGATTTTTTCACCGAGTATGGAGAAGGCAGCCGTTACGAGATCCAAGAAGTGGTAGGAAAAGGAAGTTATGGCGTGGTTGGGTCTGCCGTAGACACGAAAACGAAGGAAAAAGTTGCTATCAAGAAGATCAACGATGTTTTCGAACACGTCTCCGACGCGACGCGTATCCTCAGAGAAATTAAACTCCTTCGCCTGCTTCGTCACCCAGATATCGTTGAGATAAAACACATCATGCTCCCACCTTCACGTCGAGAATTCAAAGACATCTACGTTGTGTTTGAGCTGATGGAATCTGATCTTCATCAGGTCATTAAGGCCAATGATGATCTCACTCCTGAGCATTACCAGTTCTTCCTCTACCAACTTCTAAGAGGCTTAAAATATATCCATACCGGTACAGCTGATCGATCCAATTTCTCCAACCTTCTTCTTCTTCTTCTTCTTCTTCTTCTTTCAACCTAGCTACCTAATTCGATCATCTTTCTTTTTACCGTCTTGTCTTGTATGCAGCTAACGTATTTCACAGGGACTTAAAGCCCAAAAACATTCTTGCCAATGCTGATTGCAAGCTTAAAATATGTGATTTTGGCTTGGCTCGAGTGTCTTTCAATGATGCTCCATCAGCTATATTCTGGACGGTAATTATGTTTTGGATCTTGAAGAATTTATTAACCATCTCACTAATTAATTAAGAATTCACTCTTCACTAAGTACATACGTATGGTTCAAACATGCCGTACAAAATTTTTATTAGACTAATTAATTATATGTTTTTGTGTGAATTAAAGGACTATGTTGCGACTAGATGGTATCGTGCTCCAGAGCTTTGTGGGTCATTTTTCTCTAAAGTAAGTTGAATAATTAGTTGGCCCTTATTCAACCTACGTTCATTTCCCACCAAGTTATAGCTTAATCCTAATTACCAATTAATCTTTGATGGCTTCTTCTTAATTGTGGGTTTCTTAAATTAAATTAGTACACTCCAGCAATCGATATTTGGAGCATAGGATGCATATTTGCTGAAATGCTTTCTGGGAAACCATTGTTTCCTGGGAAGAACGTGGTGCATCAGTTGGATCTCATGACCGACTTGCTAGGAACCCCTCCGGTCGAATCGATTTCACGGGTGAGTCATTTAATTAGGACCGGATCGGTTTCTTAATTAATTAACCGATTGAAATTGATTTTCTCAGGCATCTAACACCTAATTTGGCGACAGATTCGAAATGAAAAGGCAAGAAGATACCTCAGTAGTATGCGGAAGAAGCAACCAGTTCCCTTCACTCAAAAGTTCCCCAACACAGATCCTCTAGCACTCAGCTTGTTAGAACGTTTACTTGCTTTTGATCCTAAAGATCGCCCCACTGCTGAAGAGGTCAGTTTAGTTACTTGCATATATATTTTTTCGTGTCGCGGTACGTGGTGAGATTCATTTTATATATATATGTTGGCGATATGTTTGGTATTACGCGACATAACATTTTCGAATGATCGTGATAGGCATTGGCCGATCCTTACTTCAACGGTTTGTCGAATGTGGATCGTGAACCCTCTAGTCAAACAATCTCGAAGCTAGAGTTTGAGTTCGAGAGGAGGAAAATTACCAAGGACGATGTCCGAGAGCTCATCTATCGAGAGGTATGGGTTGGTTCCACCGGTACGCTATTACAATTCAAGTTCGAGAGGAGGATAGGTTTAGAATCACACTACATTATTATTAATTTCGGCCTATCCATGTATGCAAACAGATTTTAGAGTACCATCCCCAGATGTTGCAAGAGTATCTTAAAGGTGGAGAACAGACTAGTTTCATGTATCCTAGGTATGATGTCTAACTAATTAAAAATTGATGCTAGAATTTGATCAAATATCTTTTTGTTTGCTTTATATTCATACCTTAATTAAATTAATTTATACACATCAAATTAAATTACAGTGGCGTTGATCGATTTAAGCGACAGTTTGCTCACCTTGAAGAGCATTATGGTAATGGTAAAGGTGAACGAAGCTCGCCTCTCCAGAGGCAACATGCTTCATTGCCAAGGTAAGAAGTTAAATGAAGGAATTATATATGACGGTCAAACGAAGAAAATTGTAAGGAAGTGGTTAAGTACCATACATTGGCCTGTATAAGATCCAATATAACATTTTTCTAACAACTCAAATTATTGGGAGCAACTGGTTCATGAAATTGTATCAGAGCTGGTTTGTCCTTGAGGTCACGTGTTCAAGTCCTCACGACCCCCAATATTAACCGTTGTCTTCAAACACATGGTATGGCGGGCCTGAGCAAACTTCAAGCTCATGGGTCGGCTTTCGTTTGAGGGGGCGTGTAAGGAAGTGGTTAAGTACCATACACGGGCATGTATAAGATTTAGCATAACCTTCTCCCAACAACTCAAGTTATTGGGAGCAACTGGTTGATGTTAAAAACTGTAATTAATTATTAGTAATTAGTTGAATTGATAACTCGATCGATCTTGTTAATCTAGGGAGCGAGTTCCTTTGGGTAAAGATGAACAAGGAGGAGGAGAAGAGGAGAATGATTTCGAGAAACGGACAGCAGAATCTGTGGCCACCACACTCAATAGCCCTCCCGAAGGAAAATCCAATGCTCCCAACCAAACCACTAGAAGTCTGTTGAAGAGTGCCAGTATTAGTGCTTCCAGGTGTATTGGTGTCAACCCCAAAACACAGGTACAGCTACCTACTCCACCCATCTCTTTACTATTATTATACTATATGATAATTAATAGGAATTATTATAGCTAATTAAGACACCAATATTATCTATATTAGCAGCCACAATATATATATATATAATCTGATCAGTTATATTAATTACTACTCTAATGTGCGTACGTACGTACGTTATCTTTTACTTTACAGGAGGAGGATGTTATTATGGAAGCCAGCGATGAAACTGTTAATGAGTTGGCTGGCAAGGTTGCTGCTCTCCACAACACTTGATCAGTTAATCATCATCAACGATATATATTGAAATTTTTTGAATAATTGAGGAGTTATCTAAAGGCGTGCTTTGAATTGATTTTATCGTACACAGAAATAATTAGAATCTTTGTATTATTGTTGTAATTATTTCATTTTTGTTTGTGATTCTTTTGTATATCTTTTTATTTTTATTTTTTTTTCAACACTTTAATTTCTTGGATTTTGAACGAACTGAGATACTATTGTACTATTGAATTGCATGCGCTTGTATTTAGGCCTGTCGGTTCGGTTCGGGTCGAATAACCAAACCCGAAACCCATGAAAACCGAAAAACCGAACCCACGCCCACACAACCCGAAACCGAACTCGAACTGCACTTTTGTGGGTTTCGGGTACTGGAACCCGAAATTGAGCAGCAGAATAAACAAACCTCACTCAATGAATCAAACTACAGAACAGAGAAACAATGCAAAAAGGACAACCCACCAGAATTTGGACTTGGCGCGAACCTCATTCGTATTCCAGAGCTTCATCCTATAGATCTTCGGATGGTCATCGCTCTCCGTCGAAAGAGCTCGCCCGACGACCTGATACTGGTGGTACTGGACAACCCGAGAAGTAAAACAAAAAAACAAATACCCAACAAAACCAAATCAACAAACCAACGAGAAGACCACGAATCCTGACTTCATTAGACCAAAACGCAAATGAACCAAACTAACAATAAAACAAATGGGAGCCAAAGAACCCCATAGAAATTTTGAACGGGAAATTCGAGAAGCCGGAAGCTTTAACATACCCTGTAAGCAACCATTTTCGCCGGCAGAGGAAAATAGAATGGGAAGTTCCCTTCGCTTCAAACTGTCTCTGCCTTCCCCTCTCACGCCGCCGATCGAGAACAAGGAAGAGGGTTTTGGTTTTGGGCACTGAAGATGGTAACCCTAATTGTAGATAGTAAGACAACACGACTGTCGTTTCGAGGTACCTAACCTGAAATGGGTTTCGAGGTACCTAACCTGAAATGGGCTTCGGCCTGGATACTGATCACCATCTCGACCTTAGTTTCCGACGGCGGCGATGCTCTGTTTTCATCGCTCGGTGGCAGAGCACGGCCGACGACGACGACCTTCTCCTCCTGCCGATTGACGGCGACGTACGAGGTTTCCAGCATTGACACGCGGCGAATTTGTCTTCCGCCGCCGGGGAGGTTTCGAGGCGACGAGGATGGTGACGATGATCAGATTGCAGAAGAAAAGGCCCACTGCCCGAGTATCAATTTTCGGTTTTGCGGGTTGCTTTTCGGTTTTGCGGGATTCAGTAACCCGAAACCGAGACTATAGATATCGGGTTGAACCCAAAAAAACCAAAACCGAGAATGTAAAAACCGGTTCGGGTTCGGGTTAACCCAAAAACCTGAAACCGGATTGACAGGCCTACTTGTATTGTATTATTTTCAAAGGCAAGTGGCAGGAATGAATTCTTGATTCTACTATAATTCAAGTACTAGTGAGATATTTCTATTAAGAATATGAACTAAAGAGATGTTGACAGTGCCAAACTGCTACGACTTGGAAGCGCTCTTGACAGTGTCGTCGTCGGGGTAAGTTAGTTTTTGGCTTCGAATAATGTTTAGGTTAGGTATGCTGGGTGACATATATACTGCAGGCAGAAGCTCCTAAACGTCAGGTGTACGTCTCAAGGCCCCATTTCATTGAGGGCTTCTTTTCTTTGAAGCATGCAATAATGCTGCAGCAAGCTGCTTCAATTCATACTGAGATGTAGAAGCTAGCTGTTTACGTGGAGATCGATCAGAAGTTAATAGTAGCTATTCTCGTGTTGCTTGCTAGTTGTTTATATGGCTGGCTTTTGTGTACGTGCGTGCATACCCTTTTATCTATCTTGTGTTAATCGTATAAGTCACGTATGTATTGTAGTAGTAGTACAGGACACGAGAGCCCAATAGCATTGAAGAGCCCATGCAGCCCATGAGCATTAGGAGTGATTAACGTGGAAACCTAATGACTCTAGGGTTCACGGTAGCGTGGTGTATATGAGTACAGTGCGGCAGCCTTGTGTAATCATCAAATTATCATCAGTAAAACAGTAGACGAGGAGTTTTCGTGCTCCTCCGTGGATTAGTCCTGGTCAATCCAGGGATACCACCTAAATCCGAGTCTTGCATTTCCGTTATCGTATTCCGTTTCTCAATATGGTATCAGAGCCTACACAGATCGAATCTGAGAGACCGTTGGTACGTCTCATCTCGACTAATTTTGCTCTGTGGGAGTTTCAATTCCGTGTCTTCGTGGAAGGCTGTGGATTACTTGGTATTCTTGATGGAACAGTACCGAGGCCAGCTGCCGGATCTGCTACCGCTCTTGAAATCGCACAATGGAGTCAGAACGATGCTCGTGTGAGATCGTTGCTGCTGGGCTGCGTGCATTCGCCCACATGCCTGAGTTTACGACTATTTCAGATTGCAAACAGGATGTGGAGACATCTGTCCGCCCTCTATTCTACCGTCAATCCAGCACGGCAGTACGAGATACAGATGGCTGTTGCTCGTTTGGAGCAAGGAGACCGATCGGTCGCGGAGTACTTCAATGCGGCACAGGAGCTGTGGACCGAGCAAGACCTCATTCAAGCTGAGTTGCAACCTCAAATCGCCATGACTGAAGATACCATTGCTGAAAGACAGCGAACCAGAATCCTCGAGTTCTTGATGCGCTTGCGGCCTGAATTTGAGGCGGTGAGATCGACGTTGCTCAATAAAGAGGAACTGAAATTTGATGGGATATTGGCAACGTTGGTTCGTGAGGAAACAAGGATGAGGACCCAATCCTTGATAGATCAACGTCCTGGAGAGGGAGAGACCTTTGTTGCGGCTGCCGCTTCTGCACGAGGTATGAGTTCTAGTCCTGTAGTGCTTGCTGTAGATCGCCCACAATTTCAAAGGCGAATTCCTGGGACTGAATTGGAGTGCCATCATTGCCGGGAAAGAGGACACTTACAAAAACATTGCAAATGCCGGAACTTTTGCGTTTATTGCAAACGCATGGGGCATATTGTTCTCGAATGTCGATCTCGGGAAAGGAATGAGGCAAAATGGGCTGTCCCTACTGCTGCTGGTCGTTCAAATAGACAAGGGGACCGTCAAGGATTTGGTGGGTCGAGACCTAGCTATGGTGACCGCCATGGTTATGGAGTTTTCCCGGCCGAGCACAACAGCTGGGTTCCTGCCACTCGTCCTGCACAAGGTCCGTATTTTGCTGAACACAATGGCCAGTGCATGGATGCAGGTAGCAGCTCCGGAGTTACAGCCGATACTGTCGAGCAATTAGTAAATGCAGCCTTGCAGCGATCCCTTCCAACCGCCATCGCCGCCGCATTTGCTACTCTCCAAGGATCAGGTACCTCTTTGCCATGGCTACTCGATAGTGCATGCTATAATCATATGACCAGGAAGTCAGAAATGCTAAGAAATGTAAAACCTATCAATGATATGGCATTAACAGTGGCAAATGGAGATAAGTTGGCGGTTAATGGAGTGGGTAATGTAGTTACAGAATCTATCTTGCTACAAAATACATTGCATGTGCCTCAACTTGTTCCAAATTTGGTTTCGGTAGGACAACTTACTGAGCAAGGGTATTCTGTGTTGTTTACTCCGTCTGAGTGTATTGTACAGGACTTGAAGACGGGGAGGCCAATCGGAAGGGGGAGTAAGAGAGGCAGGCTATTTCATTTAGAGGAATTACATGGACATTCTATTCCGTCAACTGTCAGTAGTACTTCTTATAGGCCTGTCAGTAGTCCGTATCCTGTGTTTTCCAGTGTTTCAAATAATGTATGGGATCTCTGGCATTACCGGCTAGGGCATCCTCATACTGAACGTCTTTCTCTTATGTTTAAAAAATCTTTGCTTGGTAAAAACAATGTTGGGATTTCTGGTTCACATTCTTGTAAAAGTTGTGTCGAAGCTAAAACAGTCAGTATTTCTTTTCCTTCTAGTGTCACTGTTATCAAAGAACCGTTTCATCTTGTTCATACCGATCTCTGGGGTCCCTCACCTACTCTTAGTAGACATGGTTTCCGGTATTTTGCGTTGTTTATTGACCATGCTACTCGGTTTACCTGGATCTATTTTTTACGTCTGAAGTCTGAACTTAAAGCTGTTGCCATTGAGTTTTTAAACATGATACAAACTCAGTTTGGTCGTACTGTCAAAATAATCCGTTCAGATCCTGGTGGGGAATTTAGTTCGATTCCTTTGCATGCTGTCTATCGTGATCGTGGTATTCTGTGTCACAAATCCTGTCCTGGAGTCTCCCAACAAAACGGGCTAGTGGAACGTAAAAATCGTCATGTTTTGGAACTTACCAGAGCTCTCTTGCTGTCTTCTCATGTTCCCGGTCGTTTTTGGCCTGAGGCAGTGGCGACTGCAGTGAAACTGATAAATAACCAAATCACGACCGTTCTTGGTAACACTAGTCCCTATTTCGCTCTTTTTTCACGTCATCCTGATTATTCTCGTCTCCGTGTCTTTGGTTGTTTATGTTTTGTTCTTCTCCCAAAACGAGAACGCACAAACTAACTTCCAAAACTGCTCGTTGTGCTTTCTTAGGCTATAGTGATGTTCACAAAGGTTATATGTGTTATGATCCTACTATTCAACGTATTAGGATCGCAGCTACAGTCATCTTTTTTGAACATTTACCTTTTTTTTATCACACCCCTACTTCCGAGTCTGTCTTTCCTGGTGTCAATTTTTTGCCCATATTCAATTTTGATGAGCCTACTGACGACCTTCCTTTACTTTCCCCTGATGATGCGTTGTCTCCCCCACATTCTCCCATGCCATCCGCTAGCTCCGGTCCTTCTTCGGCCCATACCTCGGCGTCTCCTCTCTCCCCGGCGACATCTGTTGGCTCGGGATCTTCTTCAGGCCATGTCTCGGCTAATGGGCCGCCACCCACAGAAGTTGTCCCACCAAGACGTTCCTTGCGGCTTACCCAGGGCATCCCCCCACCAAAATTTAACGACTATGTCGCTCATGGAGTTAACTCATTATAGATTCCTACTTCCTACAAACAGGCCAGGGTAATCCTTTATGGGAAGCGGCAATGGACTGCG